TCCATCTGTGGCCAAAGCCACGCAATAATGTGGGAACAGGAAATAAAGTAACTCACAGTCTAGTTCGTCCTCTTTGTCCGTAAACCGGAGCGTAAAATCGCTGGAGTCGTAACATTTTTCTGGGTTTGAGCTCATCTTGAGCGTTTTCTCTTGTTTCCTCCGAAGAAATGAGACCCAACCCGGCCCCAGACCAGCTCAAATCTGACGAAAGGGGGATGTCCAGCGCGCTGAATCTAACAAAAAGCTTTCGATTTCATTACGGTTTATTTTCCACACAAACCGCCACCCAGCCGTCGGAAGCTCGGTCAAATGTGATGAAAAAAGAGATAGTGTGACACGCCCATAAGCGTTGAGTCAGTTTCTGTTTTTGTGAAGTGACACCTAAAATAGGAGCAGAACCCCCCAGCTTTCGAGTTTGTTTAGTCGAAGACAAACACAATGGTTTAACAACCCTTGTTTTTTCCGGCCGTTTTCTTATTCTAACAGAAGCTTTATAAGGGGAAGCCCACACATCTGAGCACCTCGAGAAAAATGACGTGTAAATGAACTTAATATGTCTCTAAATGTCTGCTTGAACAACTCTTTATGTCTCTTTTGAGTGTTAATGTTGTTTTTTCTTTGAGGTTGTGTATCAGGCCTGTCTCCACCCACATATAAAAGTATGAAATACTTCATGTACTCGTGTTCTTTTATTCCGTTTTTATTATGTAATATCCTGTTCCTCTTTAACATTCATTTTAAATAAATAAACAGCAAGTGTGTTCCTTTATTTCATTATTTAATTGGAACTTTTGCTCAGCTTAATGGCTGGAAAAAGCTGATTATATGCAGCGAAAAGCATCATTAAGTTAAACTTGTGATGGTTTATTAATTTACAGCTTCTGTCTTTTGATCCTGGCTGAAAAAAAGGACCTTTGACAACAGGTGTGGGGTCAGTGGAATGAAGAGAGAAACTGATCTTAGTTGGGAGGATACATTTATTTGGCAAACATTTAAAAAAAGACAGCTTAACGACGACATGACGCTTAAACGGTGAGTGGGTGCAGTCCGGCTTTGGCCTCACGCGGCCAGGCCTCCGTCCAGCGTCATGACCATCTGGATGATTGACCTGTGCTGGATCCCGTATTCACAGAGCAGTTTAGTGTCCGCGTCCAGTCTCTTCGTGGCGAAGACCAGCTGCATGTCGACCACCGCCCGTTCTGCGCTCATGCGTAATTACGCACACGGAGGGGAGACAAAACAGGGAGAAACCAATCAGATCGGGGTAGTTATTTAGCTTCCCACATCACTGGGATTGACCTAATTATTTCTAATGGCCTTTCAGCCTTCCCAGTTCATTTTAATCAGTGTCATACATTTTAAAATCCATTAAAAGGGTTAAAGGGGTTCATCCGGATGTGAGAATGAACGAACTCAGATTCAGTTACGTGACAGGTGTGGCTCGTATGAGCCAAGAAAACTGATTTGACTCACTCCAGCACATCGATTAGACTTTTTTAAAAAGGTTTTCTGTGGCGGCGAACGGTTTGAACCGGCTCCACATCTGGACTTACTCACCGGGACTCCCGGGAAGCTTGAGCGCTATTTTCTTTTTCAGCTGCAGGACGGTCATCAGCTGTAACTCTTTCTCGTTGTTCGCGACGTCCACGGTCATCTTGTCCCCACCGAAGCCGTACACCACGACCTGGATCACCATCTCGTCCTGTCTCTGTGTCGGTTTTGGAGGCGCGAGGTGCTGCTGAGATTCTGCGAATCTGGCGAATGAAAAGGAAACAGCGAGCCGGGCTGGTTTTGATCCCAAACGGGGCGTAACAGACTTCTGTTTGGTTTCGATTTTGCAGAACAGACTACATCTCGGGCCAAGTAAAAATGGTAGATATTAAGAATAAACAGGACTCTCCCAGAAATGACCTGTATCGATCTGGCGGTCTCTGGGTCTGGAACACTGTGATTGACAGGCAGATGCTCGTTGTTTACTGTTTACCACGTGTCTGTCATCTCACGGGGAATGTTGTTTTTTTTTTAGTTTCACGACGTGGACGTTTTCCCCAGTTTTGGAAAAAAAAGTTTGCCAAACAAATCGTGACTCGGCATGTTTTCAGACCCCTCCGAGTCATTTTAGGGGGAATAAACTCAGATGAACAATTTCCAATTTGCCCTGAACGCTTCATTCTTTCCGGAGGAGTGGCGACGGACAAAATAGAAAGTGTGTGTGTGTGTTTTCAGATAAGTCAGAGCAGAAGCTGTCAGCGTGCCGTGGACTGTGCCGTGCGTAAAGGGATAAAACTCTTTATTAGCCTTAGATAGCACGAGTATATGAAAAAAACAAAACAGCAACATTAGATGAACTGGATCTCCGGTCTGATGGGGAAAAACAGGAAAAAATCTGCAGGTAAGACACGGAACAATTGCGGTGGTCATCTTTTAAACGGCAGACCTCCTCCTCCAGCCGGCCAAAAGTACCACGGGCTCCAAAACCAGGGGGCCACGTGCTACCTGAACAGCGTGCTTCAGGTCCTGTTCATGACCCCAGACTTCAGAGAGGCCGTGTAAGAATTTAATCCAATTCAGAACATCCATTTTTTATATATATATGTATCTCACGATCATCTAATCCAGGTCTCCTCTCCCACAGGTCCTCCTCCAGAAACCCGGACCCCCAGTGTATGGATGGCCCCCTCTCCGCGCTGTTTGAGGCCTTGAAAAAGAACCAAGCTCACACTCAAACCATCACAAACCACCTGGGCATCAGGACAGGTAAACTCTGACCTCGGACCAGACCCGTCTGGGTGGGTTTTAACCTCTACACCGCGGGGGGGGGGGGGAGTCAGACTCCAGGCCTCCAGGGCCGCAGTCCTGACGGATTTAGAGGTTTTTCCCTTGTTTCAACACCCCTGATTCCCATCACAGAGCCGTTAGCAAAGCTCCACAACGTCCAGAGGAGGTCCGGTTTAATGAGAATCAGGTGTGAAGAAGCAGGGAAAAGGTCTAAAAAGCTGTAGGACGGCAGCCCAAAGGGGACCAGAGTCTGACCCCCCGCTACACAAACAAGCCGCTAGTTTAGGAAACGATATGACTGAGTACGCCCGATTCTTTAATTGGAAACCTGAGAATAGATCGAGAGGACAAATATGTAATTTATTGGATCACAGGTAAAATAAACCAGATGGGCTAACAGCCCTGAGCTGGTTCTGCCCCTTAGAAAAGGAGGACCGGACATAACCGAGTGCTATTGGCCAGTTAGCCCTGACACGAATAGGCCAGGTCCTAATTCACGCAGATTTAACTGGAATGTGCTAACAAAGTGTGTGTGTTTACCTTGAAGAGTGTGTCTACTTTAACAGAGAGAAGGAAAATCTGTGGGCACAGACAGAGAGTTTAACACAAAAGTGTAGTTCTAAAAGGAATAAGACAATCAGTCTTTCAGACAGATGCTCATTTTGAGTTTGTGTGATTATATTTTGGGGGTTTAACGTCACAAAATGTATCCTCTGAATGACAAATACATGACAAAGCTGTAACAAGGAAGTGGCTAAAACTAGAAACACCTACAGTGGAAAAATAGTTTGACATCAGTTACAACATCTTTAAGATGGAAAGAATTACTTTTGTTTTAAGATTAAAAATGGATTTCTTTATGAAAAGATGGATCAGATATGTCCTCCGATCCGTCCATCCTTTGTATAGCTCTGGTACTCATTTCCCCATTCTTCTTCTTCTTTCTCCTATTTTCTATGCCTTTCATTTTGAACCCTGATGCATCAGTAAATTATTGACTTAATTTTCCCATTGCACAACAGAAACACACCCCAGAAGTTTTGGTTTTAGCCAAAGGAGTTATGTTAGTTATTTTAGTATGTTATTAATGTATTTTTTTTTTTGTGTGTGTCTATCTGTGTATCCTGTGGAATTACGGATGTCTAGCTAGATAAGGTTATTGTAATGGACAGATTGTCTTTTTTCCTATTCCATTTTCATTGTTATTTTCATTATCAAACAATACACCAACTATCAGTCATTTACATGGATTGTGTTTTATGTTTATGTTTATGCTTATGCATTTGGCAGATGATTTTATCCAAAGCAACTTACAGAGTAGACACAATATTGCATTTATCATCACTATGACAATAAGCTATATAGAGGAGAAACACTGATCAGAGTCAGTGGTGAGATAGAGATAGAGGTAGAGGGACTACAGAAGGAGCTGTGGGGGGTAGAGGTACGGGTTAGGGTTAGGATAGGAGCTGTGGGGGGGTAGAGGTACGGGTTAGGGTTAGGATAGGAGATGCTCTTTGAAGAGGTGGGTTAGGGTTAGGGTTAGAGTTTCTTGAAGACAGACAGGGACGCTGCTGGTCTTGTAGCTTGGTAGGTGGTTCCACCATCTTGGAACGACACATTAAACAGTCTGGATGGTTAGGGTTAGCATGGTGAAGGCTCTGCTAGACTACAGTCCATTGATGACCGGAGTGATCGGGTTGTGACATGAGCCTTTGCAAGAAGATTCAAGTAGATGGGAGCCGTACCCTTAAGCACTTTGTAGGCTAGCATCAGGGACTTGGATTTGATACGGGCATACGAAGCATACGAAGCATACGAAGCATACGAAGCATACGAAGCATACGAAGCATACGAAGCATATGAAGCTAAAGTGAGTAACTATAGCCCCGTTCTAACCCCCAGTGACGGAGCAGGACGACGCGGCCGCCTGCCTGGAGAGGATCCTGAGCCGGAGCAGCCCCCAGGCCTCCCAGGTGAGTCTATTGGTGCTAGTTATGGCACCCTGAAAGGACTGTATATTGCTATTGGTTTGTGGATAAATAGCAAACGGCACAGGTTGTCCGGCCAGAACAAAAACGGATAACCCCCAATGAAGACGCACAACTCAATGAGTATCGTATCCGGATACAACATTTTAGTATCCATACTTTTTCGAGTATCGATACTTTTGAAAATTAGTATCGTATCCGCATACAACATTTTAGTATCCATACTTTTTCGAGTATCGATACTTTTGAAAATGAGTATCGTATCCGGATACAACATTTTAGTATCCATACTTTTTCGAGTATCGATACTTTTGAAAATGAGTATCGTATCCGGATACAACATTTTAGTATCTATACTTTTTCGAGTATCGATACTTTTGACAACCCTAGTCTCCGGCCCCTGCAGATTTTCCGCGGGGAGCTGGCGCACCGCAGCAGCTGCTCCAGATGTGGCTCCGGGGCGCGGGACTGCGGCCCCTTCTGGAGCCTGCCCCTCCCCCTGGGGGGCTCCGACCGGGAGGACTTCTCTGTGGTGAGTGAGGGGGGGGGGGGGGGTTGGTTTTTCCCCCCGCCCGG